GAAGGGATGTCATATTGAGGATGGAGCAAGCTTGCTTTCTGCTGCTCCGGAGACATGGAGCAATGGGTTCAAGTTATAGGAAAAGAGATTCCACCTCAACATAAGGAAAAACTTGCTGATGGTAAGAGCTGTCCGATAGTGGAACATGCTTCCTCCGAGAGTAGTGGAATCTTCTTCTCTCCAGGTTTTTGAATAGAGGATGGATGGCCAGCTGTCAGGAGTGCATGGATTGTGTATTCCCGCATGGCAGAATGGGGTTGGACTGGATGGCCCTTGGGAGTATTGTCCAACTCTAGGATTCTATTATTATAATTAGCCACCAGCCTGATCACCTAGAGAGCACAGATATTCCTTCCAAGAAGTTTGACCGTGGAGGTTTATGTCAAAGTGAAGGTCCCTGGTGATATGGGGAGGGGTATTGATACGACAGTTCATTAGCAGAGTTTTCCCCCTCTCCTCCACCTTTTTCTATCCATGATTAATTGTCTGGCTCTTTGCTCTGTCTCTGTGCTATGACTTCAGAGAACAACTAAAGCCGAAGGCAAATGAGACAATTAAAGTCTCATTCCCTTGATGGACCTGAAACTTTAAACAAGTCCCTCCACCAACCCACCCACCTCCCTGTCTTACTTTGGTTGATGATTCCTGTAAAGTTCACCTACCTTTAGAGTCATATCATTTTACTGATGCTGGTTCCATCCAGTTCTTAAGAAAGGAAATAAAAGGGCAAAAGAATCCTTAATAGGCTTATACAGAAGGGAGGGGGCACTTCTGGATCATGGGCTGGTTGCCAACCCATGCCCATGCCCATGTATCTACTTCACAGGGCTGTTATGAAGATAAAATAGAGCCAAACTAGCAGAATTTAGACCACATTATCCTCTTTGTTATGAAATAAAATGGAGATGAAGTAGTAGAGCTGGGAATCACTGAATGCTTCAGGGACACTATAAGCAACTTGTATGATGATTTATACAAAAGCCAGCAATGTGTAGTGGTTTGAGTGTTGGACTAGGACACTGGAGAGCAGGGTTCAAATCCTGGCTCAACCCACTGGGTGACCCTGGGTAAGTCACACTCTCTCAGCCTCAGAGGATGGCAATGGGAAACTGCCTCTCTGAAGAAACTTGCCAAGAAAAGCTTGTGATAGGGTTGCCTTAGGGCTGAAATGACTTGGAAGCAAACAACAACAACAAAAACAAAAACAAAAACAACAACAACAACAAGGGGACTGGCATGACATTACAACATATGGGTGTGCATTGTGCAATGTTAGAAACTGGAGGGAGTGATGCACCCTGGCATGATGCACAATGGCACTGATGCACATCGGGGTCCTCCCCAAAGTATATCTGGACTCTGGCTAGAAAGTGCCAGGGGTACAATGAGAGTGTCTGATGTGCATCAGAAGTGTCCAGTGTTCATTGAAGCACTCTTGCTGGTGCCTAGACAACCATTTTTGCAATTCACTGATGGGTTTTTGTTGTGTTTCTGCAAGGGAGCCACACATTTGTAAAGCTTCTAAATGTAGACTGTGATTTAGAATCTCAGCCTAAGCAATTTCTTTTAGTCTGAAAGCTTGTGCTCTAGTCAGTGACTTGTCTTTTGTTGTTGTTGTTGTTGTTCTGACTTATGGTGACCCTATCATGGGGTTTTCTTGGCAAGCTTTGTTCAGAGGTTTGCCATTGCCTTCCCCTGAGGCTGAGAGCATGTGACTTGCCCAAGGTCACCCAGTGGGTTTCATAGCAATATAGCACTAGCATTTATATTTCTATACCGCTTCATAGTGAACTCAGCACTCTCTAAGAAGTTTACAATCTGTAAGCCAATTGCCCCCAACAAGCTGGGTACTCGTTTTACCAACTTATGAAAAGATGGAAGGCTGAGTCAACCTTGGAGCCCTGGAATCGAACTCACAACCTTGTGGCTGCAGGACTGGCCTTTAAACACTGTGCCACCAGGGCTCCTTTCATGGCCAAGCAGAGATTCGAACCCTGATCTCCAGAGTCGTAGTCCAATGCTCAAACCACT